AAAAAGTTTTAGCAAAAAAACGATTTTCGGAATTTAATATTGGTTTTAATTAATTTTGAAATTGCAAATGCAAAGAGATTTTATCGCCTCTTCCGTATGTGATAGGTACTGGTACTATACACATTATCCTTAAAAGACAATTTTTTAAAATGACCGTAACGATGTATCGACACTAGAAACCGAAATCGCCTATTTTGACCTTTTTTGACTGCTGAGGCATCCAAATCTCTTGAATTTCTAGCGGTTGGCTGCGCCGCGATGATATTTATCACATACTAAATTGAGAAAAATCCTCAGATATCAAGAACAATAAAAATTCGATAAAATACGGCAATTTTTTAAGCAAAAAACCTTTGATTGTTGGGGGCGGGTTTTGAATTTATTTTGAACGTTCTCGGAATCCAACACTCTTCTATTTTTAATATGTGATAGCTAGAATCCCAAGGTACATTCTGTGCATATTTGAAGGCAATCGGAGCACAGGAACGTTGCCTGGGCAGAGCAAATCAAAGGCTTCTTCGTCTTATGACCTTAAACACTGCGTATAAATTTAAAGTCAATCGGATATTAACAGCAAAAGGGGGGCGACGACAATATACGACCACATTTCAATGTGGGCCTATAAAAAGTAAATCGTTGCCAATAGAAAAGACCCACCTTTCCCCCAACAACAACCATGTAATGCACTAGCTATAATGGGGATTTTTCTGGAACACAGCGAAATGGGTCTTTTAAAATGTTCACAAGTGTATCACAAGGAGGGTTTGCTTCTTCTCTATGGGACACCCGATACCACTTCTCAACGAGGAATTCAGTCACACAGCCAACACCATTTTGTATGTTTGTGTAATCTTTATTCAGTATAAATCAAGTAATACAAATAAAAAAATACTTGGATTGATGAAAACATAATTTTTGAGAGTTATTCATACATGTAGCATAATTGTTCTTATTTAAAAAATGTACATGATTACATGTTTGTCATAAACAACATTAAATAAACAATCATGTTTCTTCACGATAACAGTAACAGTATAACAATTGTATGAAATATATTTTCCTTTATTTTTTTTTATTTTTAGAAAGGCCACTTCCTTGGTTTAAAATATATCATAAATTGTAGTTATCTAACATATACTTCCATGTATGTTTAGCTAACAGATTACCACGTCGCCTTATCTAACAGAGAGTAAATGGTATACAATATCAAATTATAATCTACCAGCATTACTTGTTTCAGTAATTTAATCGTGTGTTATTCTTGTATTTAAGTGAGAAGAGTGAATAAACTATCATGGGTTGAAACAAATATATTGGAGTAGAAATAAACATTGTATATTGGTTTGCAAATAAATAATGGGTACAGATAATGCAATGTCATACAACATACTTTTTGGATTCGGTACAAATACAACCTTTTTATCATCAATGAAAATAATGTGATTTCAAAGTAACGATGAATAAAAAAACATTGCTTATATAAAGTACATGTAATTGGGTTCATTTAATTCACTTTGTATCTATAATATACATGTAGTATTAAACAATAAATATATTGATTAATGCCAATTCTATACAAATCTCATAGTTGTATTCATGTTTTCTTTACCATAACAAGAAACAGTACAACAGATTTAGTAACAATATATTCCTTTCTACATCCGTCAGAGTGGTTGATGATTCATAGATTCTAATAACCCCTTTTGAAGTTTATATGAAAGCTTTGATATCTGCTATGCAGATCTAGTTATTCTTCTTTTGTTTAGAGTAGATCTCAGCAACTCCTTGTCGGATCGTTACGATTTCTTCGGTTTTACTGGAAAAGAGGGTGTGACTTAGAGGATAAAGCTATTTTGAACATTCTGCGACAATGCGAAATGTCCGAAATCATCGAAGCAATCGTTTTTAGAAATATTGCAGTAATTTTAACAATAATCGTTGGATTTTAACTTTCGATACATTTTGGCATAGCCGGTTACACGGCACATAGCTACGCTACTTTTGATTTTTGATTTTCGGCAAATCTTTGCATACATTAGGCGCCAAATTTCGAAAATTTAACTATTTACAAACAACTTTTTTATTTATGAATATTTTTTTAGTCGTGTTTTACACAAAATGAATGAGTCATCTGACTTGAGCAAAAATTTGAATTTTTTTTGTCTCAGTAATTTTCCTTGGCCGCCATTGGCTAATTCAGTTTTTCAGTCCTAGATTAATTATTTATTGTTCAATTTGTATAAAACAAAGTTCATATGCTCCGTTGTCTCAATTGCCATTTTTTTTGTTACCGAAAGAGTTATCTGTCGGCACCGGAAGTGGCGTAATTTTACCAAAAACTACAATTTTGACAGTTAGGTACCACTTCTGGTATAACTGAAAGGGTGCGCCCTTTAAAGGCGCACAAAATGCTCGGCCCAGTTTTTTTAATTTCGATTCCGTTTTCGGGCTATTTCGATTAAAAGGTGAAAAAAGGTGTAAAATTAAGCTATTTACAACCCATCCAGCGTTTTCATATTTTAAAATATTACTTCGTAACTTTCATAAACTCGTAGCAATAATCTATACGAAGAGAATGTATGTGAAAATTAATTTGTAATATGCGCAGTTGCCGAGAAGTGGTCAATTTTGCATGAGTCACTCTTTACGCTATTGTACCTGTAAAAGAGTCAATTATTATTGGATTTTCATAAAAGTGAAACCATTTGATGCATAATGTCAATTGTGACTAGTTCAACTCAATTTAACATTTTCAATGTCACTGGAAATGACGAAATTTGGACAAAAACTGTATTTATAGCCATCGAAACAAATAATTTATTCAAATGAGTCGTATTTGTTGTTTGTTTAAGATTTTGATATTTGATTCTAATTAACTAAAAGAATGGACCCATACGATCATATAGATATCACAAAATGGTTTCTAACTTGTTCAGTTGCGGAGAAATAGGCAATTTTCAACAGGTCACTTTTCAAGGTTTTTTGTCCATAAAAGTGTCAATTATTATTAGATTTATTTTCATGAAATTTTAACTGTGGGATACCTAATGCCATTTACGATTTCATACAAGTAATTTAAGATGTTCATTATCGCCGGAAGTAACGTCATTATGGCAAAAACTGTATTTTTAGCCTTCAAAACAGATACTTTATTCAAATGAGTCTGATTTGTAATGTTTTTACAATTATGATATTTGATTCCAATCAGCAAATAGATTGAACCCATATGATCATACAGATACCAGAAAATGGTTTCTTACTTGAACGGTTGCAGAGAAATAGACGATTTTCTACAAGTCACTTTTCAAGGTTTTTGGTCTATAAAAGTGGCAATTATTATTCGATTTACATCAAATTTTCACCATGTGATGCCTTATGCCATTTCTGATTTCATAAAACTAATTGAACATTTTCATTATCACCGGAAGTACTGTACAATTACATGTAACAAATGTATAAAATGAATTGATATTGCTGGATTTGGTTGATTCGGCGTCCATTTTATTTGATGTGTGCAATGCTTATGTGGAAACCTGTTTAATGGTTTCATTGATACCGGACGTGGCATGTTTAGGGTAACGTGGCACCGGTGAAACCCGTCATTACTGCATCGCAGTTCTAGTTTGCAAATTATGTTGATTATCTAATCCATTTTGATGTCTTTTAGTCTTTACAGGCCACACATTGTACCACATTTTAAAAGGTCCTACGTGGTATATTGGGTAGAGATATGACACAAAACGCGGCAGGTGAAAAGGTGGTATGATAAAATATGTGGATAATATATTTCCCTCACAGAACACAGCATGACGTATGTCAGTCTTCATTAGCAGAACAGTAGGACGTTGAACTAAACCCCATATTTCATTTCATTTCCAATATACCACGTAAGGTCTTTTTAAGCAGGGTATAGTATAATAGCTTTTACACAGTATTATTAACCGTATGATCATTAACCGACCGATCGGTTATCTGTATTATAATTAATTTTAACATAAAGTGTAAATATGGCATATAAAAACATGAAAATGGGATAAATAATCAACACAATTTGCAAATTTTGCTACAAATAAATAAAAAAGACGTGGTACCGAAGTCGCGTACCACGTTCCGTTTGTATCTATAGCACAAGTAAGCGTGGTACACGGCTCTCGCAGCCCCGGATTCTATTACATCATATTTTTTTTTTAAATATCAACTTATGGTTCTTTCTTATCGTCCCCATTTTTTTTTTATATCACGTTAATTTTTACCTGCCACGTTTTGTTTCATATCTACACATATCTAATATTCCAATGTACCACGTAGGGTCTTTTTAAATTGGGTATAATAACGGTTACACCGTATTATTAACCGTCTGCATCAACCAACCGATCGGCTATCTGTATTATAATTTATTTTAAGATAAAGTATAAATATAGCCTATAAAAACATCAAAATTGATTAAATGATCAACATATTATGAAAAATTAGCTGTAATTAATGTAAAATCCCTATAATTAAATAGTAAGTGGTACCGAAGCAGCGTACCACGTTTCGTTTCTATAGAACTTAGAAGCAGTAAGGCGAGCGTGGTATTTTGAAGCGTGGTATTTAGCCCCTGCCATGGCAGAGAGCAAATGTAAAATGTAATGAGAGAAATGTAAAATGTAGACAACTCAAATAAATCATTTTCCCACAAAACAATTGTCATTTAACACTTAATATTTGAAGTTTTACATTTAACTCTTGCCTTAGAGATATTTTGACTTTATCAATACCGGTATTATGACTTTGTACATTGTACATTTTACATATAATCAATAGAAAAGACATTGTCGCAGAGCATTTTAATATTGGCAGCGATACCCTTCCATACGACTTCGGCCATCGGTGGGCATTTTCTGTTGTTACTGCGAATCTAAGTCTTAAGAGAAATTTTGATTTGAACATTGCACTGATGGTGAGAGTTCAAATTTACTTTATCTCTACTCAACCCAGCTTATTCTTGCGGCACTCACCTGAATGGCACTTTGTCTCATTGCGGAAGCAACATTTTCTCGGATTGCAGCAGCGGCACCTGGGTCTTGACGGTTTTTGGCAAACCGTCTTTGATTAGACATATTTTCTGAACAGAAATAGGCTTAATATCCTTCCTTCGATAATTTAATAGCCTACTCCCATGATTTAGAACTGTGACGGAAATAAAATCCGATTTACACTCTTTTCTGACAATTCTGGTTTCAGACCGCTTCATATAATTTTACATTGTTTGTGCTAGTTAAGCTATAGCCTTTATGTCTAATATTTAATTATATGTATGGAATAATATATTTCACTGCCTGCATTATCATTATTATAAACAAACTTTCGAAAAAAGTATGACTAGACGTACAGCAAAAACTGAAAGTAGACTTTGCAATATTGATATATTCCATCAAGCCTACAACAGTACAAGACAACTGAACTTTTTCGATCTCTTTTCATATCATAATTGTACACATAGAATTTTGTGCAAATCCTAGCTTTGTGTGCTATACAAATTGGCAACCTCTAGCGGCAGATTCGACCGGTCGAGCTGGCAACCGTTTCGTTGGTAACCTATTCAGAATAAAGACCAGAATCGCCCAAACTCATCTATATTTATCAACCAATAAAATCCAACGTTACATGTATAAAATGAAAGTAGAATATATTATACCGTACACTACTACAGTATTAAGCTATTCTTTTAGCTCTGAATTGAGGTGTAATTTTGGATTCTCGCACAAAATTCTTAGCATCTACTACATATGACCTGAAAGGTAATAAAATAAGCTTTCCAAATATAATTCATAAAAGTTGGCACGATCATATTAAAGGGGTGCACTCTCATCCTAAACGTCACCAATTTTTCATTATTTTAATGTGAAAGACCGGTCTAATATTCCCAGTAACAATTCGAACCATCGTACAAAACTTTGAACACCCAACTACATATATTCTGAAGGATAATTAAGTAAGCTTTCCAAATATTATTAGTAGAAGTTGGCACAATCACATTAAAGAGGTGCGCTCTCATCCTAAACATAGTCAATTTGTAAGAATATTTTAAAAGGAAAGACAGTTAATATCCCGAGTCAAAATTCAGTCCGTCGTACAAAATTCTGATGATCCAACTAAATATATTCTGAAAGGTAATTAAATAAGCTTTCCAAATATTATTAGTAATAGTTGGCGTAATCATATTAAAGGGGAGCGCTCTCAACCCGAAAACTGCCAATGTTTCAATATTTTATAGGGAAAGACATTTAATATTCCGTGTCAAAATTCGGATCTTCGTACAAAATTCTGAGCATTCAACTATATATATTCTGATAGGTAATTAAACAAGCTTTCCAAACATTATTAGTAAAAGTTCGCACAATCATATTATAGGGGAGCGCTCTCAACCTGAACATCGCCATTTTTCAAGAATATTTTAAAGGGAAAGACTGTTAATATCCCGAGTCAAAATTCTGACCATACTACAAAATTTTGATGATCCAACTAAATATATTCTGAAAGGCAATTAAATAAGCTTTCCAGATATTATTAGTAAAAGTTGGCACAATGATATTAAAGGGGCGCGATCTCAATATTCTAAACGGAAAGACAGTTAATATTCCGTGTCAAAATTCGGACCATCGTACAAAATTCTGAGCATCCAACTATATATTTTCTACAATTTAATTCAAGAAGCTTTCCAAATATTAGTATTAAAAGTTGGCATAATCATATTAAAGAGGTGCGCTTTCATCCTAAACATGGCCATTTTTAAAAAATATTTAAAAGGAAAGACCAATAATATCCCAAGTCAAAATTCGGACCATCGTACAAAATTCAGAGCATCCATCTATATTCTGAAAGGCAATTAAACAAACCTTTTAAATATTATTAGTAAAAGTTGGTACAATTATATTAAAGAGGTGCGCTCTCATCCTAAACATAGCCAATTTTTAAAAATATTTTAAAGGGAAAGACTGTTAATTACGCCATAAAGGTCTCAAACCAGGCAGAAAATAGAAATTCAATACCTCCTCATCAATTCTACATACAAATGTCAATACAGATAGGCAATCAAAATGGCAAAAAAGAAACGAGACGGACACCAAATCAGGCAGAACATAGATATTCAATACCTCTTCATCAATTCTACAACAAAATGTCAATGCAGATAGGCAAACAATATGCCATAAAAGGAGGGAGAAAAATATGTCTAGAAATAACCGGCACTACCGAGATATGCAAAATTAATAGTGTTCTGCATCCATCTAGCCACATCAGCTACCAAACGATAATTTACTTGTTTTGATTCAATACACCCGACGGAGAAATCTCGATTTTCGCCAGAGTACCAATCTTTTACTGTTTTTTTTTCTCTCAAAATATCGGATATGTAACGACATTTAGCAAATAATTGCTAGTTTGAGCCCAATTTATTAGGAGTAGTTACCTCCCTTATACCGTTACAAGGTTATCAATCATGTAGCGATTTTTCGACTTTTCTTTCAAAGATTGGGGCCCTTTTTGGACCGTTTATGCTATATTGACCCTTTTAGATTTGCATTCACACCCTAAACCACCGTTAGGACCCTAAGTAACCGAAGTTTAAGAAACAAATTTATAGTAGTTTTTGTGATAAAAGCGTCGGAATAGGCTCTAAAAAGGAAAATTCTAGATTTTCAGCGTCCAATAATCTATTGCCTTAAGCATCGAATTTGTATCATTTGGATGTCATAAGAACGTCCATTATTCGGGCTATCCAATGAGACTTTATTTGTTTAGATTCGGTGAAATGTGGCGAAGTAATCACTTTCTTCGCAAGATCACCATTTTTTTTACTTTTTACGTTTTTTTTCAAAATATCGGATATTTTTTCGACTACTTCCGGTTTTAGATCATTGTCGGGATAGTTTTAACAAGTTGTTTGGTTAACTAACCTTCTGTACAAGAATTTTCAGAAAAATCCATTGAGCTGTTTTCCAAAGAAAGAAAAATGGAAGAGCATTTTCAGTAATTGAAGGATTTTTCAACTTCATTCAGCTGTTTTCCAAAAAAGGAAAATTAGAAGGTCATTTTCAGTAATTTAAGGATTTTTAAACTTTTTTCAAAGATTGAGGTTCTTTTTGGACCACTTATATTATTTCAATGCTTTTATTTTTGGACTCACGCCATAGTCCACCGATAGGACTCTGAGTAAAAAAAGTTTAAGAACAAACTTAGTTTTCATTTTCGAGAAAATGGCGTCTCAAAATGCTCCAAAACAGAAAATACTAGATTTTCGGCGTACCATCATTTATTTTCTAGCCATCTAAATCGTATCATTCAGATGTCATATGATAGTCCATTAATGGGGCTACCAAGTTTTTCGCTAGAGCGCTATTTTTTTAAACCTTTTTTTGCATACTTCCGGTATGGAGATTATTGTCGGGATAGTTTTAACAACCGGATTGGCTTATCAAATTGTCACAGGGCTATGTAATGATATATTACATTGTCTGATCAGATAAAATGCCCCTGGGAAATCCTATGTTCAATAGTGCCAAAAATACAAAAATCTCAATATATCGAAAATTAAATTTAAATATTTCAATACATATTATACATCGTTAGAATCGTAATTACGTCAGCTATCTGAATATGTAACTATTTTTTTAAATAATAAAGAAATAGATCATTTTCCAAAATTTCACGATTTTTCAACTTTTTTCGATTTTCAGTACGTTATTTTACCTATTCCAGAAATTTTAATGTCTTCTTGGATGGATTCATGCACAAGACTACCGGAGGGTCTCTCGATAGGGAAAGTTTTAAAAAAGTCCTTGGAACAGTTTTCGAGATACAGGCGTCCAAAAACGCTCCAAATCAGAAAATACCTGATATTCAGCATGTCATATTTTGCTGCCCTCTAATAGGATCCGTGTGACATGGGTATCATATGACAGTCGAATACCTTAATTTCTTTAATCCGTTGATATCGGGTGAAGAAATCATGTTTTTCCCAAAAGCACCCATTTTTTGCGTTTTCTTCAAAATATCGGACATTTTTTCGACCACTTCCGGTTTAAGGATTCTTGTCGAAATAGTTTTATCAGTTGGTTTTGGACTATAACTACATGTTCCATAAGTTTCAGAAACGTCAATTCGGCCGTACAACGAAACTCGGGCACACAAAATGGGCAGAAAATTCGAAAAAATTCTAAAACTAAAGTGTGATAACTCTGAATGAAAGTTATATTAGTGGAATCGGATTGCGTTCGGGTATCCAAAAATGTAGGTCAAATTCGAAAATTTTGAAAAATTACAAAAATTGTCTCCTAAACAACGTATTTTCAAATTTCGAACGACAAAAGCCATAGATGAATGTTCGAAATTGAAAAATGTGAGATAGCCATTGTCTCGTAAAAGATTCTGGGTTTCCAAAAATGTGAATTGTTTTAAAATAGGTAAAGAATTGGCGAAACCACGGCCGATATTTCATTTATTGCTACCGTTCAAAATTCGGCCACTTCCGGTCTGCGCAGAAGTTCCAAAAATACTTTTTCGAGTAACCACCACATGGTTTCTTGAGAGAAAATTTAACCCCAGGTCGATATCTGTTTTCGATCATGGAGAAAAAGGCTCCCGCGGTAAATAATAGTAATAATAATAATAACTAGAACTGCGAAGCAGTAATGACGGGTTTCACCGGTGCCACGTTACCCTTGAACTTATGTCACTTCCGGTACCAATGAAACCGTTAAACAGGTTTCCACATAAGCATTGCACACATGAAATAAAATGGACACAGAAACAACCAAATCCAGCAACCAATTCATTTGCTACATGTCAGTGATCCTGTCAAAATTACATTACTTCCGGTGATAATGAAAATGTTAAATTGGTTTATGAAATCAGAAATAGCATCATCACATGTTGAAAATTTTATGTAAATCCTATAATAATTGCCACCTTTATAGACCAAAAACCTTGAAAAATGACTTGTAGAAAATCGCCTATTTCTCTGCAACCGTACAAGTTAGAAACCATTTTGAGGTATCTGTATGATCGAATGAGTTCATTCTATTTGTTGATTGGAATCAAATATCATAATTTTAAAAACATTACAAATCTGATTCATTTGAATAAAATATCTGTTTTGAAGGCTAAAAATACAGTTTTTGCCAAAATGACGTTACTTCCGGTGATAATGAAAATCTTAAATTA